GTTCTTCATTCTCTTCTTGGTTAGCAAAGCTGATCTTGGGATCTTTATAACAAATAAGCATTTTTTTTCTTGATTGATGTTATTTTATTTTTTAAAATTAAATTATTTTTAAATTAAATTTTATTTTTTATATCTTGTTTTTCTGTTGGATTATCCTATTCACATAATTCTATTAATGAGTTTTGACAAACTCACTTGGTAATGCTAATACTTTATTTTTTAATATTTTTTATTAATTTTTTTTATTTTATGATTTTATAGTTTAATTTTGAGGTTTGACGATTATTATTTTTTTTAATTTTTTTTTATTATGCCAACTCATTAATTTTTTTTTTATTCTTTAAAATATAATGACAATGCTTTAGCATTGGTTTTTTATGCTGCAAAGAAATTGATTCGCAGCAAAGTATAAGTTATCAATCTAATAGAAGCTAAAATAAAAGAAGGGAAGCAGCGTGAATTGTAAGTAAATGCATTATTCACTAGAAAAATATTTTTATGGTTTTGCTTTTCCTATCAAAAACCTCAAAACTAGTTATTAGAGGCACTAAGGTCTCATTACAATACTCATTAATTATTATTAAATTGACTAGAAATAAATAAAAAAATATTTATTTTAAAAACACAATGAAATAATTAAAATACATTTTAAAGTAAAAAATTTAAAATTAGTATCGAGAGGTTTTTTATATTTTCATAATGGTTTTTTCAATATTATCAAGTTAGCTAGGAGGAAATTTGGTATTTGAATAAATATACAAATTTTTTTAAAAAATATAGTAAAATGACCAAAATACCCTTAAAAGCAAAAGATTTAAAAGTGGTCAAGGAGCCTTTTTTGTATTTTCATTATGAGTTTTTTATTATTATTGGATCAACTAAAAAAAAAATTGATATTTGAATAAATATAAAACAAAAAATAAAAATAAAAAGTATCATGTGTCATTATGTAGGAAGCGCATATGGAAGGTGTAAGGCGCCTCCTAATAGCTAAAATCTTCTTTTTTTCAATATCATTGAAAGCATTGACGTGTTTTCTTTTTTATAGATCAACGTATTTGGTTAATAGTGACATAATTTATCATTGGTGACACTTCTTTTTTTCCCTTCTCTCTCCTCCCTCCACGTGAAATTTGTGTTTATCATGCAAGATTTTAGAGTCGTCCTTTGATTTATGGGTATTACCACTTAAGTCCTTATTTTTATGATTTTTAATTTTTTTGTCTTTTTGTGAAATTTTGATTTGTTTTTAATTTCATTATTCAATCTCAATTTGGGATATGTTATTTTTTTTTAATTTGGTCTTCAGTGTTTTGATATTTTTTTTCCTTTTGTTGAAATGGTTTTTCTTTTCAATTTAATCTTTCAATAAAAATTATGCTTTTGTTTTTTATTTCATTTTTTATCATTACTTTTTTATTGATTTAGATTTTTTTAGTTATTTTGTTAAAGTAATTTTTAATTTTAATTTCAATATTTAATTAAAAAAAATTTGTATTTCGATTTTGATTCTCATTTTTTTTAATTGATATTTTTTATTTTGAATGATTTTATATAATTAATTTTTTTTTTAATTTTATCCTTCAATATTTGATTAATTAAAAATTGAGTTTCATATTTTTTCTAGATACAATGTTTCTAATTTAATAATTCAGGTCATAGATTTAAAAAGTTAAAGTAGGTTAACATTTTTTTTACTTATTTTATTTTCTACTTTCATCATTCGACATTAGCTTTTAAAAAAATAAAAAATAAAATTGGCTTTGTTATTTTCTTTGTTTCTATTGGGTTATCTCGATCTCATGATCTAGGTCACGGATTTGATAGAATAACTCGAGTTTGCTCAATTTTGATTATCCAATTTTATCCTTCTCTATTTAATGAGCTAAAAATTGAGTTATATTGTTTATTCTCTTTTGAAAAAATATTTTTTCTTATATTATTATGATAAATTTTTTTAATTTAATCTATTTATTATCATTATTATTGTCTAATTAAAACAAAACAAACTTATTTAACCCAATCATATTTATTACCCAAGCCGCCAATTATTATTTTTTTATGACTCCTAACATCAATTTTACAAAAGAAAAAAATCTAACCACGCGAACTATCCTGGAACCACAACTGTCAAAAACTGAAATCGGAAAATGCTGGCTTACTAATTTGATATTAATGATTAACATGAAGTCCAAACTGTGTTAACTTTGCTAGTAATGCAACCAGACCACAAAATGGGAACAACCTTCCCCTCCCCTCCCCTCCCCTGCTCGAAATTCATAATGCAGTATATCTAAAGTTCAATGTCGAGCTCTGAATTTGCCAAAATCTGGAAAGATAAAGCCATCATAACCGGAGACTAGAAATGGATCATTAAAATTGAATGTTGCAATTTCCATTGAAGACAATAAGAATCTGCATTATCATTCATAAGCAGTGCCATCTTTTCCCCACTTTTCCAACTAAACAATGGTGTTGCCAGTCCATTGAAGCTGATGCTGCTCAAGAAAACTCGTGCTGGAATGCAACACCGACTCGCCAGCTTGTGTGTGTATCTATCTATCTCATAAATTGCATTCAACTATCGGTTCTCCTTGTTGCCTCCAACGAAGTGATTCTACTCCTTTGTCCTATCTGAAAGTATAATGTTGGGGTGTACATTCGTTGTAACCTGCCGAACTACGAAAAAAGCTAGAAGATCCGCTCATCACAATCTTCCAAAACCCATTTCCATGCAATTAAGTTACAGTTTCGATTGAGAGGT